AAACGCTAACATCAGATTTATTAAAATAAACCAAACGCTAACATCAGGTAAAGTTAAAAAAGTTAAGCTTTTGTTTTTAAATACTGAGTATCTGGTAAAAACGGTTCCTCGCCTTTTCTCAGCTTCCTGATCATCTGCTGATGTTGGTGATGGACCGTTGTCCTGTTTGTCCCCGGAGTCCAGCTGGGCCCGGCTGTGCTGCAGAACCATGGCGGTCAGCCGCTCCTGGATCTCTCTGACTGATCTCTGAGCAGCCTGACGGGCGGCGAGCGGCTCAGAGAGCAGGATGGACGCATCGACGGACTCCAACTGTCCTCGGCTTCGCTCGTTGTCCATCGGCTCGTCTCCTGCTTTAAGGGGTTGTCCGTTCTGGACGCCTTGTCCTGCCGTGGTGCCGCTCCACCAGCGTTCGTACAGACGGTGGTAACAGACAAACGCCTGCAGGCTGGCAGCTGCAGCTGTAGCTTCGGCTGCAGCTTCATCTTCGGCTGCAGCTTCGGCTGCTTCCTCTGTGTGATGCAGCGTTTCAGAGTGATTCCTGGAAAAACCACTGGCGTCCCCTGAAAGACAGAAAGACGTCCCACCTCAGTAGTAATTTGTTTAACTAAAGGAGAAATCTCTGAACCAAAGGTCCAACAGAACCTCGTACCGTCAGGGAACAGCAGCCTGCAGAACTCTGCAGACGCACAGAAGTGTCCCGCCTCCCTGAACCAGGCCGCCGCCTGCCACAGCTCCGTTATCAGAGGTCCGTCTGAGTTCTGGATCCAGCTCAGCAGCGCCCGGGTCAGGTGAACCGAGGAGTACAGCAGGACCTGAGGACGGACAGCAGACAGACTCAGGACTGAAGACGCTGGAAGGTAAAAGTCTCTGCAGCTCACTGAGACTTGTTATAATTAGAGACCGGACCAGGACCTGGAAGCTGAAGCCACAAGGAACCAGCTCCCTCTACTGGCTGACTGCAGTGCCATCTCTAAGCCCCGCCCCTTCATGTAAACAGGACATTTTCCAGAGTGAGGGGGCAGCATCACTGTTTTCCAGTTTCAAGTTGAAGTTATTTAGATTAATTCAGCTGTTTATAAATCAAAACGTTCAGCTCATTCAGGACATGTCGGGTATTAACTCTTATTTTCAGCTAAAACTTAAAATATTTAACTTTACTTTTTTTATGAAATGCTTTGAGCTCTTCAATCCCTAAAAAAAAAAAAAATCAAGACTTTCTGAATCTGTTTCTTGATTGTTTTGTTAGCCTTTAGCTACTACCGTTAAGCTAAGTTTACTGTAGCCTCGTAATTTTAGCTTTAGCTTTGATTGTTCAAATTTTAACAACTTGGTTTTCAACAAATTTCAGACAAATCGTCTTTGACTTTTGCAGAAAATGTAATTTTCCTCGTTTTAAAAGTTCTTTCACGGTAAACTGTGATTGACAGCCTGTCAGCCAGTGGGGACGTTGGGGAGGCGGGACTTTCGTATGGAGGGTCCAGCCCCACGTCCCGGCAGCACCGTAACAGTTTCTGCTCTGAACACAAGAAGACGGAGACACGTCGTCCCTCGGATGTTTCTGGACCGAACCTGTCTGAAGGGGACGGTGGCGCTCGGCGTTGGACTCTCCACTCCCTTCAGCTCCTGCAGCAGAGCGTTGGCTCCGCGGTCTCCTGCGGAGTTCTGTGAAACACCAAACTCCTTCTCCCAGACGTCCCTCACTTTGTCCTGGAGGCTGCTGGATCTCTGACCGGGCACCGCCCACGGATGGCTGGAGACACGGGAAGCGGGACAGAAGACGTCCGAGTCCTCCAGAGACGCAGCCAGCAGCTCCGCCACACACAGATGGAGCCTGTGGACCTGCAGAGAGAACCGTTAGAACACGGCTGCTGGTTTTATCACAGGTTCTGCAGGTTTGTGGAGACGGACCAGCAGGCCGGGCTGGGAGCTCAGGACCTCCTGCGCTCCGACCCAGTCCTGAGCAGCAGCCAGGTCTTTGGCACATCTCAGAGCCAGGGACTGGGCCAGAACCTCCTCGCCGGAGATTCTGGCCAGACCGGCTGCCGCCTTCAAAGAGGAAGCGTCGTTCTTCCTGGAGATGACCTTGGCTGCGTCGAAGCTGCAGCCGGCCGCGAGGTAGCTGAAGCAAACGACAAGAAGATCAGTGAAGAAACCAGAACCATTCAGACACAAACGGGCCACAAATGTTCTGACCACTTGGCAGCTGCAGATAAATGTCCGTCCTTCTCCAGCGCGGCGGCCCAACACGCGTACAGCTCGTTCAGGACGGGTTCTTCTGCTGGCAGCCGGGCTTTGACCAGAGCGATGGCCTCCCTGCAAACAGAACCGCCCCGTCAGAACAAACCCAAACGCTGCGGAGAACCGAGCAGCTCCTGTCAGGACGAGAATGAAAACAGGAAGTGGACCTGTAGAGCTTGTTGGACCTCAGCAGGTCCACGGCCTCGTACAGTTTGTTGAGCGACAGCAGGTAAGACGCTGCCTTCAGGTGCTGCTCCTGCAGGCTCAGCTGCTTCACGTAGGCCTCCGCCGCCCGGCTCCACACCTCGAACCCAGCTGCAGACACAACGTTCAGAACTGAAGCACCTGAAGGTTCTGAGGACCGACAGGTTAGACCCATTAACTGATCAGAGCCTTTCAATCAGGTTCAGGTTCGGGACTCTGACTGGACCTTGGTTCTGTTCTATCTGACCCGTTCTGCTGTAGATCGGCTGCTGTGTTCTGGATTGTGGTTCTGTTGGACCCAGTTTGGTCCAAGTTTCAGCTGTTGGACTCCAGAACCTTTGGTCTACAGAGGAGTTCTGGTCCACTCAGTGACTGACAGAAGCCCAAACCATCAGCCTCCACCTCCGTGCTGACAGCTGGGAGGAGCTGTGTGCTGCCGTGCATTCTGGGTAAACAACTGTCTGTTTTGGCTCTGGTTCTGTCCCAGAAGTCTTGTGGATCCTTCAAGTCTGCCATGTTGTTTATAGAGTGAAGAGGCTTTGACCTCTGACCCTCTGACTGAGGCCAACAGTGTCTGACATGGAGCTCATTTTTCTGAGCATTGCACTGTCTGACCTTTGGGGTGAATTTGGTTGGACGTCCACTCTAGTAAGTTTCTTTCTTCTTCAGGGGTCACCACAGCGCGCAAACTCGCATGAAAAACTTGGCAATTGTTTTACGCCGGGTGCCCTTTCTGACGCAACCTGGGCTCGAACTCGCGACCTCAGGATCACAAGACCGTGGCACCGACCACCGAGCTACCAAGCTCCTGGCTGGACGTGCACTCTACATGTGAACCATCGTTCTCTCTGCAGCACGATGCAGTCCAGACTGTCTGGAGGTGACCTTTGACCCTTCCCACATTACTAGGCGGCAGCAGCTGCTTCTCTAAGGTCATTGCTGATGCCGTTCCACCTTGGTGTCGTGTTAACACACGTTTGCTGCTACGTTTCGTCTTAAATCATGTTTTCAATCACAACGTTTCATTTAGTAAAAAACGGTGAATCTGTTGTGTTTTTGTTCACTTCAGGTTCTGTTTGAATAATTTTAGAGCTAAATAAAAATAAAAATCATCAGTTTCATTACGTCCTGACAAGAAAAACCCCACAACTGAAGGAGGGTGAACCTTTCCTCTCCTGGGATTGAATTTATCATCATTAAAACTGTCAGATGAATTTAACCCAAATTAAAACTATAAATGACTTTTTAAAACTTGGAAATGGAGATCAAAAGTTCCTCTGCAGCCCACTGGAGGGCGCTCTCCTACAGTCGGAGCTGTGAGTGTTTTTACCCATGGGGGCGACGGACAGCAGGTGGTCATTCAGCTCCCCCCTCTCTGTGGCGAGCTGCAGCGCCCCCTGCAGGTCCCCGCTCCACAGCCGCAGGTACACCACAGAGTCCAGGTGACCCGCCTCCAGGTGGGCCTCCTCTGAGGAGCGACAGGATGAAAGAAAAGATGAACGCCTCCTCCGTGTTGTACCTTTAATCCACACTGAAAACTGAGACCTTAGAGAAAACTCCACCCACCTTCTGCCTGGAACATGCAGCGCAGCGCCTGCCGGTCATGGAACAGACCCAGGTGGACGTGATCCCCCTGACCCGGGACACAACCTGCAGGTGGGGCTGAGAACACAGACGACCTTTTGGGGTTTTAAACGTTCTACAAACTCAAACATTTTCAACAAGCGGTGCGCCCATGACCCCAGCTCTGAATAGTGAATGTCTGTAGTTTCTGACATGAGTGTTTTTCTGACGGGAACAGAACAGAGGATGTGAGTAGACCTAAATGTTTTTGGTGCAACATATTTCAGTGGTGATGCTACCGGTAATAGCGCAAGAAACGATATTTAGCTGCACGGACATGTTGGTGTGCATTTCAGATGAACTGAGTTTTTCACAGGGTTGAATTCTTACATGTAAAATAAAAACATTAATTTATTTACTCTGTTGTGGTGAATTCACTGCCCGAGGTTGTGCAGAGTGACGGATCCTGGCAGGTTGAGGGAGCAATTTTATCACCAGCAGGTGCAGTGGTGGAGCCAGAGGGTGGCCAGTGGTGGCCTTGGCCCCCATAAATTAATCTTTGGCCACCCCAACCATTTGAGGAAACTATACTTTAAAGCAACATAAAAACTACAGAGTATAGTTTTCTCAGATGATCAGTTGTGTCTGAGATTAATTTATGGGGGCCAAGGCCACCACTGGCCACCCTCT